AAAATCATGATTTTCTCACGGAGCACCTATCAATCTCGGGTGGTACACCAGTATTCCGCGGAACATAGTTTGGGAAACGCTGGTCTAAATTTACAAACTGTAATTTTGTGTGCAGGGGAAGTTTCAGGAATTCTATCTCTTAATTATACCATGGTTTTTAAACGGAATTCTTGGCTATCTGCCATACGTTTTGATTGAGTACGAAAATAAGTTTTTGTTTAGTCATAGTCTTGTAAAATTCATTATATAATTTTAGTGAAATATTAATGTAAAAGAAACTCCCTTTTGCGAACCTTTACTGTGTTGTAACAAACTTGCCGTTGCTATGACTGACAGTTCTTAGAAATGAAATTGTAAAATGAAATAATAAATCAATTCAAATGCGTATGTCTTGAGCGCGATTTGAGTTTCAAAGAAAAATGGTTTTCGATTGCAGCTTTCAGGAAATGTATCATATCTAGAACCGATGTAACATTAAATTTGTATGTGTGTGTGTGTGATGATTTATAAAAGTACTTATTTGAAGATTTTGCTCACTTAAAACTAGTGACATTTTAATTCAATTACTGTGGTTTTCAATGCTGTTGACTAACTCATTTATTACCATTTTATATGAGAACACGTTTGACATAGCAGCTCTGCTATCGTTTCTCTGTTCATCTCGCATCCAGTTTACAAATTAATTTCTTGCTGTTTTAAATGTGATCATTACTAAAAAAGGGTTTGGGAGTGATATTACTTGTTTATCATATCCCAAGAGCGTGCGCAGTATTTTATATGTTACACAACTTTGATACGTTAAATTACTGGAGGTTTATTGTCACTTTGCCTTCTATATTATCTGTATCATAAACATATGAAAACCATTTTTTGGCTTGTATGATTTGATATATTTATAACTAATCTGCAATAAATATAAATGCATATAATAAACCCTATCAGATTAAAACATTTATTTAAAGTTGAATCATCGGGTTACTACAAGGCTGTTGATACTTATAGGAAAATTTGACGACTAAAGCACTGATTTTACGGTACTAACACGTAATTAAAAGCGTTGCAATAAATCCCTATATCTTGGTTGAAATGCTTAAACCTATATTATCAGTTAGGCAATCATACAATTACCCGTTGTATTAGTTCATTGTATATTTTACATTAGATAACCAATTTTCGTTCGGTAACAGACATGCTCAAGTAATCTTAGTAGACTATAAATAAATTATTTTCAATTTAAATATCGGCATTTTTGTTGATTTATCCGGAACAGATTTCATAAAATATATTGTATGGGAAAATTGAAAATATTACACACGAAATTTTGATTGTAGATATGGCGATTCTGCGGAATTAAGCGTCGAAAATTTAATAACGAATTATTTTGCTTAGATTGATAAGTCATGGTTCAGTTTTTGATGTAACTTAATGACTGTTTTATTTAGAGTAATTTACTAAAAATCTGACAACAAGGAACATTTGAAGTATAACCGTGCTTTTGCCATCTTCAAAATTCTTTGTTATCAGGGTGATTGAATAACGAAAATT